CACCACTCCCCCCCCCCCACCACTCCCCCCCCCACCACTCCCCCCCCCCCCCACCACTCCCCCCCCCCCCCCCTATACTTAAGTGCTTCTGATATACTTCAATCACTCCAAATGACTGCAAATCCACTTTTGATCATTTTTTTAAAAAATTATTTTTTTTTGAAAATATCGTAAAATCGCAAAAATTCTGAAAAAAAATTGTAAAGTTGTAGTTGTGCACAGAAGAGAGCTGCGGTTTTGTCAAGCAATTTCACCAGGTGAGACAATGGCACTAAACAGCACGGCAGACAGAGCCAGACTGGTAGCCTGTTCAGCCAGCAAATAGGTATTAAAACTGATAATATCTTCCAGTTTAAATAAATCCATGACTGTCTGTGGGTCACTGCTGTGCACAATTGACTGCTGGTTTGCCCACAACATATACAGTCAATTCACTTCACAGTATAATTCGTGAAGCGCTTTGAGACGTCTCGAAGAAGTGATGAGGCACTATATCATATGCAAGTATTATTATTACTGTATGCTGCAGCTCTACTATGGAGACTGTTATAGCCGTTGGATTCACTTAGACCCTTTTCTTTCTCTATTTAGCCTTGAAGAAAGATGACAGTAGCTTCGACGAGGTGAGTTATGGGTTTCAAGCTGAACAGAAGATGGTGTCTATTTACAGTAGCCTTTTGTATTGTTTTTGGGAATGAAAGTTGTCGAACTGCCTTCTCTTATGCTGTACTGCTATTGTATTTTAGAAAAGGGAAAGCTTCTGATTTCTGTCTCAAACCAGTTTAAGTGCTCCAACAAGCTACCCCGCATGAAGGGCTCTATAGAAATGCAAGGTGTTGTTTGTTACACCTGACAATGTACATATTTTGAAGAAGTGCATTGGGCTAGATCTGAGGTCTGTAAAACAACTTGCATTTATAGATAGTAAAACTCGTATAAGTCTTATCTTTATAAATCGTATAATTGCCTAAGTGTCCCATTCAGTTTCCCATCAAAATCACTTAGATTTCTTTGCACCCGTTGTATTAATTGTCTCCTAACTCATAATTCTTGCTCCCCTACCCTCCATGACTGCCACAGTTATCGACTGCATTAACTCCCTAATCCCAGTTCATCAGGGTACCCAATATACATTTATTTAGCCTTTCATGTTTGGATGACATCGCAAAACTCTTCACAGAGCTAAATAGGTACCTAAGCTGGAGGGTGGGAAAGGGAAAGATGACCGAAAGTGCAGTCAAAGAAGTACGTTTTGAGACGGGTCTTGAAAGAGGAGAGGGAGGAAGCAAGAGAGATCAAGTCTTGAGTAAATCCGGAATGGAGTTCCTGAGAGCAGGGACAGAATGCCTGAAAATCTGCCCACCGATGGTGAGGTTGGTAGGGTGGGGGACATGAATCAGGCCAGGCTGGATGAATGGGGTTGATGGAGGTCACAGATGTAGGGTGGGGTGAGTCTGTGCAGGGATGTAAAGGTGAGGAGGATAACTAACTGGATCTGATGAGGGATAAGGCAGCGAATGGAGCCGAGTGAGGATGGGCCATATATATATATATATATATATATACATGAGGCTCTAGATAGTTTGCAGTATTCTATGTAACGTGTGTGTATATATTCATCATAAATCTGCCCTGATCAGTTATTTGGCTATAGCTTATCTAAAAGAGTTTGATATGCTGCAGTTCACTGCATTTGTTTGTGTTTTGGTATGTTTTTCTCATGAGGGAAAGAGCAGTGAATATTCGTAAATTAAATCCCTTTGCACTGGGACACCAGGACACTGCGACACCATGCAGTCACATGCAGAGTAAAACTTCTTAAGTACACCCTAACAATGTATCTATTAACCCCATTTTCATAAGAGATTATGACAAGCAATGTGGTATTTCCCCATTTCTGCTCTGTTCTTTTAGTGAAATTGGGAATTTGTTGTCTCTTAGTCGACTTTGTGTTTTCATCAAACCTGCGAAGACTTATAGGACCTTTGAGGTTAGCCAAGACTTTCATTAGTTTTTACTCTATTTGTATCCAGGTCTCAGAAATGAAACAGTGTCGGGGTTATTCCCAAGTCTCCCTTGTTTGCATAGAATGACACAGAATTATACAGATTGTACAACACTGAAATAAGCCATTTGGCACAACTATCTTATACTGCATGTGATCCTCCACATCTCCTAAGCCCGTCTCATCTCTTTTCCATAACCCTTTATTCCCTTCACCCTCACTTTTGCATATTTTGTTTCGTTAACTTTATGCAAAAATATCATAGTGCCGACAATATTTAGCAGAATATTTAGCAGAAGTTATTTTATTATTTGCTATTTCAACATAACTGGGAAGACCTACTTAAATTAAGATCCATTTGCTGTATGTATTACCATTTTCAGTAATTCACACAATTTACTGTAAAGTGTAGCAACTGTGTAGTTTGTAGGTGAATGATACAGCAATTTTTGCAATTTAGTTTAACATTATTAACATTGTATGTCAGCTGGCTTACTTGGTAGCACTCTTGGCTTTGAGTCAGAAGGTCTTGGGTTCAAGCCCCAAGTCATGACTTTGAAATCACACAGTTTAGACTGATACTCCAATGCAGCGCTGGGGGTGTGTACATTGTTGAAGGTGCCGTCCTTCAGTTGAAAGTTTAAACTGAGGTCCTGTCTGCCTGTTCAGATGGATGTTAAAGATTCCATTACACTATTTGAAAAGAGAAGAGTTTTTCTTGGCTAACGATCCCCCAGAAAAAAATAGCCATTCGCTTTGTGGCTCTTTCATAGAATCATAAAATCATGGAATTATGCAGCCTAGAATAAGGCCATTCGGCCCATCATATCTGTGCCGGCTCTTTGAAAAGAGCTATCCAAATCAATCCAACACCCCCGCGCTCTCCCCATAAAACGTGTGAAGCAGTTTGAAATATCCGCCCTACGTGAAAGGTTCTATATCAAATTATTAAGAATAAAAATTCATGTTCTCAGTCTTTCTGTTCTTTCCACATTAGAAAGCACAAGATCTATTTCTGCAAAATTGAACGTTTAAACAGCTAAATAATAGTATGTAAGGACGGTTTCAACATGCTTTTATTTCACTCAAGGGTTTTGAGATTTTTCTAAAGCTCGTCTCCTTTAACAAGCAGTAAAATTCTATTTTTTAAACACAGACCATAGAAAGCACATTAATTGGCTAGGAAATTGATATACTGTAGCTGGGTATTAAGAATATCTTTCTCAGAGAGAGGCATGTCTCTTCTAATTAAAAGTTCAAAAATGCTTTGGAGCAGGCTCTCGCTACAGTAAAATTCTTATTGAATTTATGGTTATGGGAACTGTCTAAAATGTATTTTATAGAAAGGGATGTATATTGGACAATATTTTTATATGGCTTCCTTGTTAACACGGAAGCTGTAAAGATGTATTATGTTTGAGGTTATCATATATAAGGGACAATTATAATGTCAGCCTACTGTGTATTTGACTACACTTCTCCTGTGTTTCCTGTGTTTATTAATAGATATCCTGTACTATTAAATATATTAAAATAATAGTTTTGGAAGTGTGATCTGATTGCACAGCATGCTGGAGCATTAGTGTATAGTGCCACATATGCTTACAATTCTCATGTTAATTATCAGATAGCGCGGCATGGGAAGCCAAGTTGAAAAAGGCTTCCCCAATGAGAGGATAGAATCATAAAATCTTACAGCACAGAAGGAGGCCATTCGGCCCACTGTGTCTGTGCCGGCTCTTTGTAAGAGCAACCAACTAGTTCCACTCCCCTGCTCTTACCCCAATGCCCTGCAAATGTTTCTTTTTAAAGTACCTATCCAATTCCCTTTTGAAAGCTACTATCCACCATCCTTTCAAGCAGTGCATTGCGGACTGTAACAACTCTGGGTAAAAAAAAGTTTATTTTCGTCTCCTCTCTGGTTGTTTTGCCAATTATCTTAAATCTGTGTCCTCTAGTTTCTGACCCACCTGCCAGAGAAAACAGTTTCTCCCTATCTTTATTAATTTCACTTTGTATAACTCTCAGACAATTTCCATGGATTGCTTGAGAATAACCAAACCTGTTTGCACAATCAAATGCTAATGAGAAGGTTGTCTTTGTGTTCCACACCTTCAGGAATAAGGTGGAGCTGTTGAGCACAAGCAGCGTGAAGCTTGCCAGACAGGACTTTCAATGACAAGCTATATGGTTTTAGCTGGTTAAACTCTTAACAGTATCCCCATGAGTACTCTGGAGTCCCCACGTCTTGGCTCTTGCCATCCTGTACCTAATAATCTTTGGAATAAATGAAGCAGGGTGTGTCAACAGCAGAAATTAACATGAAACAAATAAAGCTGCTCTGTGACAAAAAAAATTTTAAGTAATAAAAGACAATTTGCATTGTTGAAGAACTGAAGGATAATTGAGGATACTTTAGGAACGTGGGCATTAAGGAACCTTTTTAGGTAGATCTGGAGCAGATCACAAAGCGCTTCACACAGTGGACTTGACACTCTTGACATGACATAAATCAGGCCAAATACCAATCTTACTGTCTACCCTACCAGTGAGATTTATAAAAAATGAGTCCAGGATGTTGTCCTCAACCACCTTTCCTGGTAATGTGTTCCTGTCATTAATTACTCTTTAAGGTAAAAAAATTTTTCCTAGTGTTTGCCCTGAAATGGCTATGTGCAATCCTAAACCTGTAATGTCTTGATTTGCTGTCTCTGTGCATCCAAACATTTTGTTCTGTTATTTTCTCAATCGCATTTAAAATCTTGTATACCTTTATAAGGCCTTCTCTGAGGCAAGAACAACTTGCATTTATATAGTGCCCCTCATGCAGGGTAGCATCTCAGAATGCCTAACAGCAGTGGAATTTGACACGGGAGTAGGGAGTGAGGGGAGGTGACTATAGGCACGTGTCATTTCAAGACTGAATGTTTATTTGCACAAGTTGCTCTGAGATTCTTGTGCCTGGCTAAGAGGCCCAGAAAGAATTTGTCTACAGTCTTTGTGGGGAATGACATGAAAAAAAATGTTTTTTTTAAAATACGAGGTGGGGGGGCGGAGGAATAAAAAGCTTAAAGCTTTCTAGATATCATATTTACTTTAAAGATCTCATTCCATTATTGTTTTAAAGACACAAGATACATTTGGGAATTATTTTTTGTTTGCAAGATATGATACTCTGCTTTGCCTGGAGGGATTCCAAGATCCTGGTCACCTTGATCACTAACAGCTAGTGACGTGAGAAGCTAAATCTTTGGACAGTACATATTTATTTATTTAGCTAGCTCTGGGATCCAGGATCCCATGTAGTTATTTTGGTATTGACGCACTGAGGATCCTTTCTTTATTGTTAGCGACTGTGAATAGATGAATCTGTTTTCAGTTTTGTTTAATTCTAAGAAATCCTGAAACAGCATTGCTTGCATTTAACATTGTCTGGAAGAAACAACAACAACAAATTGGATTTATACACAATTTTGTATTCATACGATAAATGTTTAAATGTTTACTTTAGTTGCCTGAAACTACCTTTCTCTGTTGAATATCTACCAGCAAACAGGTATGATTCTAAATGGTTCATAGTTATAAGTATTTAACTGATCCTTTTGTTCCTGGAAAATC